ATTCACTATATTCGCCATCTGCAAGAATTTCATACAGCTTCCCAAGAGAAAGAAAATCTACCAGATTTCTTTACTGTAAATCAGTTTAGTTAAAAAGGTGACTATACACCTATTTAGGCAGATTTTTCCTTTTACCTTAAGTAGATGAGAAAACAAAGCAAAACCAAAACCCTAAAAATCACTCCGAACTAGAGCAGAAACTCAAGCGAGTCTGTAGGACCCAAAATGCTACAGCAGACTTGTAATTAACATTTTAGTATGGCATTACTTTTACTACAGTGATGTACAGTAGTTCAGTTTCTGTATAATAAATGGTTAGGGATACAAAGAAAATTGTCTAAATCTGTTTTCAGAATCAATTATTTAAAAATGCTAAGATTTACTCCTATTTTGGTCTCCTGCTGATTGCTGACAGACTGCACACAGATACAGCTCCTGGTACCAGACCAAATTTACAATTAATCTGGGGAAAAAAATTCAGCATGGCTTTTTACCTGCATGTTGAAGAAAACAGGAGTCAAAGTTTCACTTATCCAAAAAGATGCTGAACATGACACGTTGGCATGTTATAAAAGTCACATTAAGCAACTAAAAACCCCACATTGGCAAAATTAGATCAACTTTTTGGGTTGTTCTGAGAAAGAGCAAAGTAAATTTGTTACACCACTTAGCTTATGAAATTCCATTACTGTTTTAAAAATAAAAGGCAACATGATACCTGGCCTTTAAAAATTTAGAGTCCTGGTTTCCTACCTTCTGTCCTCTAAGTAGTGATACTTAAATTGCCACTTTCCTTATATATGTTTGCATCTTAATGACATTCATTCCAGTATAAAATACATCTAGTGTATAAAAATGTTGCTAAGAAAGGGGAAATGTTGACTTTATTTAAAGACCATTTTGATCTCCAATCCTTTCTCGTTGTAAATTCTGCTGCCTAGTTTTAAATGACTTGGAAAAGCACCCACCTCTGCTCCCTCCCACCCCATATAATCAGTGACATCTTCCAAACATGCAGCAGAGCTGTAACTACATGTTAGCAAGTCTATGAGTACAGATCTTATTCTTTCAAGACAGTAAATGAAATATTTTTTAGTACATACATATTTCTTCTAAGTAATTCAGTGTTGACATTTTAAATAACATAACTTGTATTCACGTTGAATTAATTCATTTTACATGCACAATACAGAATATTTCCATTGTATAACCACCTCCTTATGGGAGAAGTAAATCTAATTTAGGGAATGAATAATTAACATTATAAACTTTAGTGCGACAGCAGTGTGATAGCACAACAGTATCACTTTCAAGTCGTAACTGAGCATATTGCCAGCAGAAAAATCTTAATTCATTACTCCTGCAATAACCACTTTCTTAAAAATAACTAACTCAGTGCAGTATTACTAAATACTTAACATGAATCGCTAAAGCAGCAATCAATCCCAAGGTAGGAAATCACACCTTACATACACTGCTGCTCAGCTAAAGTCCTTTTCCAATCAAGAGCCCAGAAAGATACCGCATGTCAAATAAATGTTTGGAACGTTACATAATTTTAGTTGAAAAATGGTTTATTACATCTCAGTTTCAGTCCCACAAGAGTAAAAAATTTCCTATATTTAAAACACAGCGCTGTCCTACTCAAGTAATTTAAAGTTTATTTCCCTGACCAGAAACCAAGGGAACACACTCCAGTTTGGAGTTCACGTTGAGATGGATAAACTCGATACCTATTAAAGAGATGTCAGGCTCCATATACCATCCAGTAGCTCTTATTTGAAATATGATCGAAATCGATGAATCTCCAAGACAACACACATAAAGCAGAAGGAAGGAGAATAGCAGTTTTGCAAGACAAATTACAGAGGCAGCAAAAAGACTCATATAAAGCTTAATGACTATGACAGCAGACATCGAAGACCACTTTTGATTTAAGTGGGCCTTCAGTTCACCTCAGAGGACCTCTGTTTTCCAGATTGCATTTCATCTGGAAGCTGCATTTATTTGGAAGCACGATACTTCCAGAATATAGCATGTGTCAGCAGAAAGAAAAGAACCAAGATCTTTAAAATTTAAGAACACGACT